ATTGCATTTAGATTATTGATGTTGTGAGTTATTAGTTATTATCATGACGTAAGATGGAAGATTATATATATATATATATATATATATATATATATATATATATCCAATGCTTGCTCCTTGCGATGAACATTGACCTTGTATGTTAGAAGCAAATTTTGTGGCTTTTCTTTTGAATACTCTTACTATAATTGTAAAAAGAGATCAGGGATTATTAGTGATATGATGTTTTAAAGAAATCAGGGAATTGTTAGTCAAGTATGAGATAGGTTTATATCACGAATATTGAACATTCTGTACGTTAACGGGTTCCCTTTGTATATCGTTCTGCATGGATTTCAGAGAAGCCTAAGGTAAAAAAAAACGTTTTCATCGATATGCGTGCAATAAATACACTTATACTTATGCTTAAGATCAACCTAATGTTTTGGGTATTTATTTCTTTCCATAACGGAGTCGAGAATGTGTTGTGGGGTCCACTAAATACTAATCTAATAAGAAACCCGATCAATAAATACACTTATACTTACCAAAAGATAGCTCATTCATATCACATTGCTGGATCAATATACCTTGCATTAAATTGCCATATTTTTCTTTTTATTTGCAGCGAGACGTATATCAATGAGGGATCCACCAAATACACATCACCCGAAACCTTTTTTTGAGCCTTCGATTGTTCCTGCTTCTTCTCCAACAATTCAAGGTCCTTGATTCTTATAACCACATTGTATGCTCTTGAAAGTTTAAATCTTTAGCATTTTCTCATAAAATATCTTTCTATTTAGGTCCTACTGTTAGCAGCTTGCCGCCACATCACCACCACCACCACAACCACCCCCATGGCCGCCATCGTCATCCTCATGGGACAAGAACTCACGCAGTCTCCCCATCTCCATCCTCCGGACCAGGTATATAAGTACCTTTTATCTAGTTTCTAGACTCAATAACAATCTTATCATTAAAATTTAAAATAAAGATGATTATGCAGGTTGTGGCCTAACATGTTTGGAACCACTGACTTCGACTCCAATTGGTTCACCTTGTGGTTGTGTTTTACCAATGAAAGTGAGACTGCTTTTACAAGTGTCTGTGTACGCTGTTTTCCCTGTTGTGAGCGAGCTAGAGATTGAGATTGCATCAGGCATGTACCTAACACAAAGCCAAGTGGTGATAACAGGTGCCAGTGCTGATAGTGAAAACCAAGGACAAACAGTCATTGATGTAAACTTGGTGCCATTGGGACAGCGATTCGATAATGTCACTGCTGCTTTCACATATGATAGATTTTGGAAGAAAAAACTCTCCTTGAATAAAACCCTTTTCGGAGATTATCAAGTGGTATATATTATTTATCCAGGTAAGGTAACTTCCATATCTCTTTTCCTGTTATCAATTATTATAACCAATTTGGGTTCTAAAATATGAGATGTCATGTCACAATCAGGGCTTCCTACTTCGCCATTACAGATGGAACCAAGCGGAGGTCCCGGGACACAAGATTTCCCAATAACCGCAAATTTTGTTCGCAAAACTCAGACAATAAACCGGAAAACCATTTTTGTAATTGCTTTGTCTGCAGCAGTACTCTTGATTGTTTGCTGTGCTGCAATTTGTGTTATCATCAAGTACAGAAAGCTATATAATTCATCCAGTGCTTTTACATCCTCAAATAACAAGAGATGTGGTAAGCTTCAACCTTGGGATGGCCTTCCATTCAATTTAAAAAACTATTGAATTGTGTGTTTTGGTGCTAGTTTAGTGTTTCAAGTTACATGGAAATAAATGTATGAATGATTTGTGTTGTAGGACTTGGAGCATTGTTAGCAGCAAATAATCCAACAAGTTCTATATCAGTATCTGTTGTTTCCGCCATGCCTACTTGTGTTCTTTCCGTTAAGACGTTTTCATTAGCTGAGCTGGAAAAAGCGACTGAGAAATTCAGCTCATTAAGAGTTTTGGGTGAAGGTGGTTTTGGATGTGTTTATCTTGGGATCATGGAAGATGGAACTCAGGTTGCTGTGAAATTGCTGAACAGAGATATTAACCAGAATGGAGATCGTGAGTTCATTGCAGAAGTCGAGATGTTAAGCCGTTTGCATCACCGTAATCTTGTTAAACTCATTGGTATATGCATTCAAGGATGCGCTCGCTGTTTGGTCTATGAGCTTGTTCCCAATGGCAGCGTTGAATCTCATTTGCATGGTATATGTGGTTTGTTTTAAATCTTAATGCTAGAAATAACAGCATACTTTCACTCATTTCTTTTATCATTAAATTTGTATTTTGATTGGTGTTTCAGGTGTGGATAAGCAAACGGGGCCTCTTGATTGGGATGCGCGATTAAAGATCGCTCTGGGTGCAGCAAGAGGGTTGGCTTATCTTCATGAAGATTCTAACCCTCGTGTCATCCACCGTGATTTCAAAGCCAGCAACGTTTTGCTAGAAGACGATTTTACCCCTAAGGTATCGGATTTCGGGTTAGCAAGGGAAGCTACAGAAGGGAGTCATCACATTTCAACCCGTGTCATGGGAACTTTCGGGTATATTATATTCGTCTTTTCAACTTTTTTTTAAAGGGGGTTTGGTTAATAATTTAAAATAAAAATATTTGATTTTTCTTTCGCATCACAGTTATGTGGCTCCCGAGTACGCGATGACGGGGCATCTACTAGTGAAAAGCGACGTGTACAGTTACGGGGTGGTGCTGCTGGAGCTTATTTCGGGAAGGAAACCGGTCGACATGTCGCAACCTCCGGGTGAAGAAAACCTCGTCACGTGGGCCCGCCCACTTCTCACAACGCAAGAAGGTCTGCTCCGGTTAATCGACGGGAACTTAGCCGGGACCTACGACTTCAACGACATGGCAAAAGTGGCAGCAATCGCTTCCATGTGCGTGCACCCACAGGTGGCTCAACGACCTTTCATGGGCGAAGTCGTTCAAGCCCTAAAACTTATATACAACGACAAAGACGACACCACTACCCAACGAGACTCCTCCGCCTCCGCCGTCGAATCCGAATTCAAAGCCGACCGCACCGTTTCCGATGGCAGCTGGTGGAACGCCGGCGGTTCCACACATCTCATGTACGGTAACGATTCTCCCATCTTAACGATGGATTATAGCTCCGCCTCCGGTCCATTTGACGAGGTTGAAAACCGGTTCGTTTTCAATGGCGGTCTTGGAAATAGGTCCGGCCCGCTAAGGACGGTTAGGAAGAAACCCGGGTTTTATAATAGATTAAAAGGGAGTATGAGTGAAGATGGTGGGGGTACTGGGGGTAAGCCTTTCTGGAGTCAAGGCTCTATTTAGTTTTTTAAATGTACAGAACCGGAAAATGTTAAAAGGAAACTCGAGTTTTCGTGATAGATTGGAGTCGGACCGGGTTTTAATTAATTTAGTAGGAAAAGAGCCGAGGGACCTTAATTGAAAAAAGCTGGATTTTTTTTGGGGGTGAACTACATTTTTGGTCCCCGAACAATATAATTATTGACATATTTGGTTTCTAGACTAATTTTGAATTTTTTTTACTATGTTTAGGGAACAAATTTTGGGTTTTAATCATGGGTGTAGTGTAACATCATTTTTCTAAAGGTTAGATGCGAAATGCGATGCACACAATAATTATCATACATTTTAATGATTATTATTTTCTTTTTAACTATGCGGTTTTCGGCAAAATAATAACATATTTTAATGTTTGTCTATTTTACGTATTATTTCAGTCATTTTTTTTTGTTGGTTTTACGTAAAGCATTTTCATGTATTCGATACAAAATAAAATATAAAAAAACAAAAAATACTACAAAATTTCAAAGCATTTTCATGTATTCGTGTCAAGATTTCCATAATTTCTTTACTTTATTATTTTTCACATCTTCAATATTTTCCACAAATTCTTCCAAATCTACAAAAAAAAAATAAAAAAAAATTGATTAATGCAATAAAAACTCACAAAAACACATATGTGTATATGGATTTAATTCATATGTGATTCACTTGTGATTTATATATGAATCACATGTAATTCATATGAAATTTACTTGTGAGTTACATTTGGTAATTCGTATTTGATTTACTTATGATTTACATATGAATCACATTAATTCATATGTGAATTACATATGATTTATATGTAAATTAAATATGAATAACCAATAACTCAATCATATGTAAATTACATATGAATAACCAATAACTCATATGTGATATACTTGTGAATTACATTTGATTTACATGTGAATCACATGTCATTCATATGTGAATCACTTGTGATTTACTTGTGAATTACATATGATTAACTTGTGATTTACATGTAAATCACATGTAATTCATATGTGATTCACTTGTGTTATATTTTTAAAATGATGTGATTTACTTGTGATATATTTTTAAAATGAAACAAATTAAAATAAACTATATGGTTAGAAAAAAAAAATTAAGATGATTTACATGTGATTCACATGTAAATCACAAATGATTCACATGTGTCACAAGTGATTCACATGTAAATCACAAGTGATCCATGAAGATCAATATAGAAACAATTAAAATAAACTATATGGTTAGAAAAAAAAATTAAGACGATTTACATGTAAATCACAAATGATTCACATGTGTCACAAGTGATGCACATGTAAATCACAATATCTATAAATGGACATTTTATTGCCCATCTTCTAAATCACAATATCTGATAAATGGATTTTACCTGAGGATGTTTCGTTAGGAAAGGTGCAAGTCAGGATCTCCAATAAAAATTACTCATTTGCATGATTAATCTACAACCAAATTCCAATAACAAGTTAATTACAAGCTTAATTACAAAACCACTAACTAATCCCCCCCCCCCCAAAAAAAAAAAAAAAAAAAAAAAACTTAATTACCAATTCAGGAAAGTTCAACTAATTCAACACGATTTCAAACTTATCTCTAATTGATAATCAAATGAATTAACACAAAAAATCAACATAATCATTGACGAAATAGTAAGATCTCACTTTCAATGAACTAAATAACAAATCTCACTCCTGACCTCTTGTGAGGCTGCAAGAAGTTCTTTAATAAGTTTATATCCTCTTCTTCTCACAAGGTTCGCAAGATCTTGCCTATATAGTAATGTAAGAACAAAAGAATAATTCAAAAAAAAATTCAACAAGTAGAAGCCATTTCCATAAAGCATATAAATTTCTTTCTAATGAAATGTATGTTTTAATACAGTGTGAGGATAGACCTGAAATCAAATGATATACAGATTTCTTAAGCCAATATGATAAATTTCCATTGAATCTCCATGATTACCCAGGTAAGAAGTGATTTTCCTCACAGAAAAATTTACAAACACCCTCATATCATGTCACAGTTTACTATTTTTTTTGTACCGATTCCCACTAACCATTTGTTACTAAGGATGCAAGCAATTTCTAGTATCAGAAATGTTTTCCATGATAAGTAAAGCATACATACCAACAGACATATATTCAAGTGCAGAACAAGGAATTGGAAATAAAGAAGAGTAATATAATGCTACAGAAACTAAACCTGCCATGGTGCGAAAGCTCCTTCAAAGAAGGAACATGTTCATCAGGAAACCCAACATCGGACATAAATTCCCGTAAAACGTTGCAGAGATCTGCATTGGTCCTCGCTGGTTTCCTACTAGCAACTCTAAAGCACAAAATTCGTTTAACGAACCTCGAATTAGGTAAAAAAAAATTAACATGAACAAATACATACAAAGATACATGCAATTGAAAATGAAGCAACAAATTGCAAACATTGTTTCATTCGGTGACGAAGCACAATTTGTGATGAGGAGGCAGCGACGGTGACGGACGCCGAATTGACAAAGCTGAGGTTTTGGAGCAGCGGTTAAGAGGAGTTTGTACTTTGTAATAAGGGAGGAAGAAGTGAGAGTGAGGGAGTTGCAGGTGCATCGCCATAAAGGAGACTCAGGCATGGATTAGATCAATTGATCCATGGAACGAAATCGATCAATTGAAACGTGATATATGCAGATTCCAAGGTAGAGAATTGAAAACTTTGAAACATGATATATGCCCTAGTTGTCATTTTTGGGTCTTAGGAACCGAACAAAAACTAGAAAATTCAATGACTAGAAGAAAATTACCTTCATGTGATTAATGATGAATTGTTAATGGTCGGCGGAAAGGGAAGGAGGCTGATGTGGAATATCTTTGACTGGAAGAGTAGTAGACCGATGTAGGGAGGAAGGAGAAGTGATCGTCAATTTATAGGAGACAATGGCAATGATGTAGGTCTTATAGGAGGTGATGGTGGTGATGTGGTTTCTAGGGGAGATTGACGAACTCCATGGCAGTCATGTAAGGGTTTACAGATAAATCATCCACCAGAAGGTATCATCTTCAAAACTCGGAACAAGGCGTCTGGATTGACGTTCTCTATACAAGGTCAATATCTATATCCCTAAAATAACCCCAATTCAATTTTGTTTCAGTACCCCCATTCATTTACTTTCTCATTTATTTACAAAAATGCCACAAAGCATCTTGATCATCCTCTTTTTGGATCTAACAAATGACTTTTAGTTCTCGGGAAACTATGAGTTCTCAAATGATCTTTCCTATATATATATATATATATATATATATATATATATATATATATATATATATATATATATATATTAAAAATTTATAATTATTAGTCAATTATTTTCAATAAATTATTAATTAAGAGATTTATATTTTTTTATTTTTTTTATAAAATTATAATCGTTGATTCAAATAAATATGTGAAATTACTTTCAACTATTTGACAGTTTTTATAACTGGTGTGCTATACAGTTGACAAACCTAAAACAACATTGAAACTTTTAAAAAGTTAAACATTAATCACAAATCTGCGAACAATTATTTGTATACAAAGTGTGTTAAAACGGACTTTTGCAAATACCATTGTGACATCCCCAATTTCACGGCCAGAAAAGACCGATTTGTTTATGCTTTGTTTTTAAAATCAGAGTAATCTTTTACAGAAAACAGTTGCAGAATTTGTTCCCAAAATAAAATATAATAAAATAAAATTTATCAAAGCATTTCTTAAAGAGACTGTACTTTTCATTAATTATAAAACATCGAGATGTCATGTTCCGATACAGACCAAAAGTATAAACAATATAAAATAGACCTTACAACAGTTATCTATAACTACTGATTTATAATCTAAAATCTCTCGTTAAGTCCACAAACTTATACCCTTGTGTCATTACCTGTAATGCAAAGAAAATTGAGTGGATCAGGCTTGGGAGCCTGGTGAGCATATAGGGTTTTCAACACACAATAATATAATTATTATATTCAATCATCAAACAATCAACCCAATTACCCATCCCCATTATCTTCGTTTATTCTTAAGTACCTTCCCTAAGGAATTATCCGAAGGGTCATCTCCTACATCGTATTTACCTCTAGTCTTCTTACATCACATTTCCTTTATATATATTCGTTCCTGAAGCATGAATACGCAGTCACAACATCGCCTGGACTCGTAACTAATAGTAAGGGTTAGGATATCATCGCATGAATACGTAGTCACAACATCGCCTGGACTCGTAATTCTTGTAAGGGTTAGAGTATCATCGCATGAATAAGTAGTTATAACATCGCCTGAACTTGTATTAGAAGAAAGTGATCACATACTCACCTAAAACATATACTTAATACATTCACACAATACTTGTATTAAAATCGTGTTATGAAAGGGACTATACACTCACTTGATCAGAAGATGATCAGACAGTACTATGGCTCTAATAGTAGTATTATTCAGTGAAACCAGGATCACTTCACACACCGGGTTTCTCGCGGACAGAGCTTCGGCTCGGAAACTCTTTTCTTCTCGGGATCTTCGGGCTTCGGGACTTGCTTCGGGTATCGGGGTTGATATCGGGGCTTCGAGGGATTAAAATAGGGCTTAGAGTGTGTATCGAGAGTGGGAGAGAAGAGATGGAGCAACCCTAAACGGCTGGCCCTTCAAATCTATTTATAGGGCAAAATTTTCATTTTCCACGTCGTGGGCACTGTTTCCACATCGTGGGCTTGATCGTCACTACATGCGTCATCGCAAGTTGCATCTGGGGACTCCAGGAGGTGTCATAAGACTTGCCACGTCGTGTCACTGCTTGACACGTCGTGGTATCTGACAATTTTGGGGTTTCGCGCCCCGAACTTCAAAAATTCATAACTTTCGCATATGAACTCCGTTTTCGACGTTTTTTATATCGACGTGTAGGTAAAAACAATATCTAAAACTTTCATTTAGACTTTGTTGGTTAATTTTGACTTTATTTTTATTATATTAATTTTATATTATTTTTAGTAGGCCGGGATAGGAAAACTCCGTTATAAACTCATAACTCCATCTGACGTCCGTTTTCGTCTGGCTTTCTGTCGTTGCACTATTATCGATGAGATCTTCAATTCTCATTTAGATTGTTTTGGCTAAATATCGCTCTAACGTAAATTCACTATTTACGTCGTGCTGTGTCGTGCCGGTTCTTTCGCGAAACTTCGATAGGTCATAACTTCTTCGTTATAACTCGGATTTCGGTGTTCTTTATATGTACGGAATCCTTGTAACATATACTATAACTTAGTTAAGATTAATCCTTCTAAATAATATTTCATCAAAAAGTCATTTTTGATGCTTATCGTCTATAAATTGACTAGCCCAGATCTGCGGGCGTTACAACCATGATGAACATCCAGGAAGCACTTGAAGCACCAAATCGCCAATAAACATCTCCGTAGCAATTTGTTTAAGGATCACTTGTATGGGTTGACATTCAAACTAAAACAATATAAAAAAATATAGCTAGTCCGAAATCCAAAATAACCAATCAACTTATGTTTTAGTGTTGAACCTTCATAAGGAGTCGATTGCATTGATGAGACGATACTTGGTTTGAATCGGAATTGGGGCCAATATAGCATATCGCAATCCACTTAAACCTTCATAACAACCAAAGATAAACATATCAAGTAAAAACCATGTGGATTATTAGCTAATGACTTTTTTGTAGATTTCATATTGACCATGTCACATAATGTGCTGATTTTTTGAAGACAAATCACTACTTTTATGGGTGTGTTACTTCTTTTGCAACTGAATAATTAAGGCTACATGTTTGGAAAAATTTTCATAAACACCAAGCGTACTACGTTTAGGTTTACAAAGTACGAATTTTTGATATCCAAAATATCAAATTTGATGTCTATGTGTAACTCTTGTTACAAAGATAACAATGACAAAAAGCCAATTTAAATGGAGTTCATATGACAAAGTATGAATGTTCAAAGTTTGCTATAATTTCATATATTTCATCATTTACTTTACTTTGCAGCTAAAAAAATATGACTTCCGGACATCAAATTGGAATGTGATATGTTCATAGAGAACTCTTGTTACCAAAAAAAACAATTTAAAAAAATAGCTCTAACACAATTCGTATGAAAGAGTTATAAACGTTTTAAAGTTGACAAAAAACATGATTTTCACGGTGGCTTGTAAAAATCATATATATATATATATATATATATATATATATATATATATATATATATATATATATATATATATATATATATATAAAAGGCGAATTCTCGCGCGTTGCGCGAGAATAAAATTATATAATTAAAATAATAACTTTTACTAAATTATTATTTAATATTTCTACTTTCAAACAAAATGTTAGTAGTAAAGCAAACATATAGTTAACATATTAGTTTTATTAAATATTATAGTTTAACTTTTAAGTCATTTTGAAATATACAATTATTTGATAATTTTATAAACCGTTTAAAATTGTGGAAATTTAATATCAAATGAATGATAATATAACGGATAACAAAACGTATGAACAAAAATATGAACTGCAACTTTTAGTAACATAAAAATAGAAAAACATCTATTATAACATTTGTATTAAAAAAGATATATATACACACACACACACACAACGAATAATAAAAAAAATATGAAAAATAAACACTATAACTTTTAATAACATAAAAACACTAAAACATCTATTATAACA